TGAACTCTCTCTCTCTCTCTCTCTCTCTCTCTCTCTCTCTCTCTCTCTCTCTCTCTCTCTCTCTCTCTCTCTCTCTTCGAGCTGGGGCGGTGCCGGACCGTGTCGGGCAGGGTCGACATCGGCTGCCGTGAGACTCTGCACTGGCCCCTCGAGGTGCCCTGGAGAAGCCGGGTCTGGAATGTGACCTCTGAGCCCAGACGTCCTGCGGATGATGGCCCGGATGACCTCAAACACGCTCCTCCTGATTTCCCCGTTGTTCCCGTTCGTCGCAGCTCGTCCTCCCCCGACCTTTCCTCGTCCTCTCTGGTTCTCTTCCTCGTTGCTCCTGGGTTCCTCTTGCGCGGTCTCCCGGGGGCCCCCCGTGCCCGGCCCCCCCTTCCCTAGCGAGGTTCCGACGGGGTCGAGGCTCTGGCGTTCGGGGTTGGAACTACCCGCGACGTTTGCAGCACTCACGGGAGGTTCTGAGGGTCTGAATGGGGTCTCTGGAGTCTCAGAGAGCCCAAAGAAAAAGGGAGAGAGAGGCCTATGAGCTCGAAAATCACTCACGCTGAATCCTGGCCAGTCCCGCTGGGCCGCCTCAGGGACCTGGAAGTCCTCTGGGCGGCTGTCGCCCAGCGGCGGGATGGTCCGCTGGCCCGACTTCTGCCTGTTCATCTTGATCTTCCTGTCGGCACCGTCGTGCCTGAGCGCGAGCGTGTCTCTGTCCAGATCCACGATGGCGCTCAGGTTCTCCAGCCAGCGCACCGGCAGGAGGAGAGGCACGTCCTCGCTCACGATCCAGAACAGGATGAGGCACCTGACCCCTGCTCTGGTCATCGGAACCATGGCCTCGCCCACGACCTTGGACCGACCGCCGACCCCCTTCGCGCTGCTGCAGCCGTCCGTCTTGCGCGTCGGGATGCTCCAGCCCTTCTCACTGTACTTGAGCTGGAGGTCGCGCAGCTGGCTCTCTCCCACGAGAGCCTGTCCGGCCGCCGTGTCGACCATGCCCTCGTGCTCCTCGCCATCGATCTCCAGCAAGCAGATCTCCTGGTCCTGGCGGTCGGCTGACTCCGGGATCCGCAGCGAGCAGATTTCCCGGATGCGAGCGCCCCCGACGAGGAAAGTGCCCCCGTCGTCGTGGCCGTAGGCGGCTACGCACATGGACCCCTTTGCCCCGATGGTGTTCCTCTGACCCCTGTCACGGACTTCCGACTTCGGCTTGTAGGGATTCGCGCATTCCTTCTTCCAGTGGCCCTTCTCCCCACAGTTAGCGCACCTCGTCTTCGCCTTGAGGTGCGCAATGCTCAGTCTCTGCTTTCCTGCTGTTGTCCGTGGGGCCTGCCGGCCCCCTGCCCTCTTTGAACCGAAGAAGTCTCGATCACGTGCAATGGCCTTCTTGAGCTCCTTCGACTCCGCCCACTTCCGCGGGCGGCCATCCTTCTCTCCCTTCTCGTCCAACACCGCGGCCAGCACCGCGATCGCCTGTTCCTCGTCCGGCCCCTGGTCTGCGATCGCCTCGTAGAAGGCCACCACGTCCGCGCTGTCCATGATCAGGTCCTCTTCGGGCTCGAGGTAGACGTCCTGCCCCCTGGCGTTCTCGTTCTCCTGCTCGTGGTCGCTGTCCGCGGTCGCGTGCACTCGAGGCTTTCTTCGACTCGTCTTCTTCTTCGCATCCATCTACTTGAATCCGGCTTTGATCGATTCCAGATCTTCTCGCCCTTGTGTGATCGACAAGAGGTTGATGGCATTCTGTTCGCTGAGGTTCACCCCATTCCTCAGCTGCTGCACCTGTACTGAATCTGGGAGATCGAGGCCATGCTTTCGCGCTGCTCTCACCTGAGTGTCTCTCCTCATCACGTACTGGGCGTATGTTTCTCCCGGTCGCATCCCCGTGTCCTCCAACGCCAGTCTGAAGCTCTCCTTGGCCTCGTCGCCGTCCTGATCTCCCCGGCACTTCTTGAGGAAGTCGATCAGCGCATCTAATTCTTCCGCTCCGTCCAGCTCGTCTTGCCGATGTAGCAGTCGCTCCTGCAGATCCATCGGCAGTCCGTCGATGATCTTGCCCGCCTGCTGCTCGGGGGGCAGCCCCGTGCGCTCGGACCAGCGCTTGAGGGCCACAACGTAGGTGTCCAAGCGCTCGAATCCGCCCCATGGCGCGGGCCCCTGCGTGTCGGACGGCCTCCAGGCAGACACCGACGCGCCCGTCTCGGTCGGCGGCGGATGTGCTGGCGTCGCCGCCGATCCAGCGATCCGCTCCTGGGCGAGCCCCGCGGGCGGGCTGCCTTGCGCCGGCGTCGCCGGAGGCGGCCTGGCCTCGGCGCGGACGTCCGGCCGCGCCGGCGTCCCTGGCCGCGCGGGCTCCTCGGCCGCTGACCCGTCGCCGCTGCGCAGCAGCCCGTGCGGCACCGGCGGCTCGACTGGACACGCGATCGGGATCCACACCGTGCCGTCGCTCCCCGCCGGGACGTCCTGCCACCAGCGGTTGGTGCTGTAGTCTGTGCCCCACCAGTGGTTCCACCAGCTGCTCCACCAGCCACCGCTGCTATTGCTCGTCGTTCTCGTCCAGGGACCCCAGTGTGTCCACGGATCCTCGGTTTCTGATGGTGCTGGTGGTGGCGCCTCTGCTGGCCGTTTTTCGCACCTGCTGGGCCTCGCTGGAAGCCTCAGGCGCTGTGGTGTCTGCTGCTGCTGCTGCTGCTGCTGCTGCTGCTGCTGCTGCTGCACGCTGTGGAGCAGCAGCGGTCGGGCTAGGCCCGCTCCCCTGCGCGCCGCCCGGCTCTCCTCCACCTCGTTCTACCATGACGCTCCTGCTACCATGTGAGCGGCCGTCTCTGACCAGAGGAAACGGAGGGAGGCCGGGCGGCGACGCGAGAGCGGGTCAGTGTCCCACCATGTCCCACCCGCCGCCCTTTTCCTGAACACGCGCACTTGAGCCACGACGGTTGCAGACCCTCGAATACTATGTATTCACCCAGCAACGTGACTGTACAACGCACAACGCACTAAAGCAACTATGGGGACCTCTTGGGACATGGGAGATGGGAATCTATAAGACAGAGTCTCTGGGTTGCCTGGCATTCTCGCCCAGTCGATGGCTGCTCTGCCTCGACTCTCAGTGCCAAGTGTCCCCATGTTACTACCGCTTCGAAGTTGATGGCCTATCGGGCGGCCAGACACCTGCGAAGGACAGCGTGAAAATTCCTCACGATCCGGCCTCTGGATTTTTCGACTGCGTGATGCGGACGGTCCTAGGCCCGCGAACTGGGACGGGGCTCAAGGAGCCTGGGTGGTCATGCTCGGAGAACCCCGCAATCGCGACAAGCAGAGGGCCAGAGTCTCGCTTCTCCCGTGGCAGAGCCAGCGGTTCCGCAGGGTGGCTTCTCCGACGATGTCGGCGGAAACTGTCTCGAGACCCCTGGCAGAATGGCGGTGGTTGTGGTTAGTTTTCGGGGGGTCCAAAAGGGGAGCGTCCAGGAGGGTGGATCGCAAATCACGGCCAGAGGCATGCGCGCGGCATGACATCGGAAGAGGTGTGGCCCTGGCCATGATATCCACCCCCCCTACTCATCACCCCCTGTTGGCCGCCCCCGAGTTTGCAAAGATGCATTGAGATGGCCATCGTTCGAGACTCCATGACTGCAGAGAGCACTATCATCAGGCCGGTACCCAACTGCAAAATGCCCGCGGACAGTTTGACCAAAGCTGACCAGATTCGCGGAAACTATGCCTTGACTGAGCTGATGGCAAAATACACTCTCGCCCTCACAAACGAAACACGCTCGTTGGACGACCGGTATCTCAATTCGGCCCTCAAGTCGCGAAGCTGGACAGCACCTCGTCGGGTCCTGACCAGAGAGAACCCCGCAGAAGCCGACAAGGCAAGCTTGCCCGGAAGAGCGATCGTTCAGGCCGTCGAGCCAGAGGAGGAAGCACGAGGAGAGTAAGAGGAGCGCAGCGCCAGGACAACATGCCCACCCTCGTGGCCGCCCGACTGCGTCCGCCCCGTAGCCCTCACAGGGGTCCGCCTTGAGCTCAAAGGGAGGCAGGGTGATCGGAAGCGGCAGGGGAGTCGCAAAGCCGATGATCCCCTCATGCTAGTCAGGCCTCGAAGGGAAGGGTCCGCATTCGTGCTGGCGCAAGTCTCCAAAACTTGCGGCCCCCTCGATCCTTTTCGATCCGATCGCTTGCTCGCGCAACCTTGCCGAAATCGTCACTGATATCATCAGCATGGTTGACCATCATCCTCAACATCATCGCGATCATCAGCATCATAAGCAGCAGCATCACCCGCATCGCCCGACCCTGGGACCCGATCGAAAAGCATCGCATGAACGCGCTGCACGCGGCCGAGACACGAGGGAGCAGCTGTGGCACGGCGACGCCTGCATGCATGTATGTGCCCGTGACGCCCGAGTGATGCCTCGAGCTGCACCTGCCCCGCGCCAAGATTTGACCCCTCCCCTCATGCCGAACCCCTTTTCTGGATGGCCCCGATCCTCGCATCTCTAGACAAGCGCGTTCCACGGCTCGCAAAGTAACTGCTCGCAAATGGCCTGGATCCGCCGCGGGCAAAGTACGATCCCTTGCATCGAGGCAGACTCGAATATTTCGGACGCTTGCGAGTAGGCACTTTGCGAGTAGTGGAACGCGCTCGGTGACCCTTGCTCCCTCTCTCTCTCTCTCTCTCTCGCAGCAGCAGCAGCAGCAGCAGCAGCAGCAGCAACAGGAGCAGCAGCCTCTGCTGTCCCCAATCCGAGCGTTCCCGCGCCGCCCTCTGCCGGCGGCCGACCCGCGCGCACCCGGGGCCCCCCGGGTGTCACAGGAGGACCTTGTCCCAAAGAGGGGGGGGGAGGGGAGGCCACCAGCCTTCCTACATCATCCCCCCGAGGAAAGGAGGAGGGAGGTGAGGGGAGCGATCCTCGTCTCCTCGTCCACCTCCCTCTTCTGCCCTCCCTCCTCTCCATCCTCCCCCTGCCCTCGCAGCGCAAACTCAACCCGTCTCGGAAAGAAAGCCTCTCCTTCAGCGCGTCGTTGCGCAGGAGCGCGAGCCCGAGCCTCTCAGAAAGGTGGGGGGAGAACGTAGGTCGGTTGACACACAAGGGCGGCGGAGAAGGAGGAGGAGGAGGAGGAGGGCCAGGAGGACATGGAAGACGGGAGGCAGGATGGGGGCAGGAGAGGGGGAGGGGAAGATGGAGGGGCTTTTGCTGAACGTCACCTCCTCGCAGCACGATCGCGCGCACGTGAAGTCCAACAGCTGCACCTCGACCAGCGAGCCCTGGACGAGAAAAGCGAAGGACATGCCGAAGCACGCAGCTGGCTTTCCCGCCGCCCCCCGGCGCCAGGAGCTGTGTATGGGGTTGAAGTACAAGGGTACAGAACCCCTGATCCGTTGGTAGAGAGATGGAGGGATAGATGGATATCTTTCCCTCCCACGCGATCAAGGTACGATCGCTCCAACTCAGTACCTGAGCCCAAACGGCCAGGCGCGGGAGAGGTAAGGATAAGGAGTATATATGAGGGTATTACACGGGTTCCATTCACACCCCCCGTCCCGAATCCCGCCCGTTAAGGCAGGACTCGGGAACAGAGGAAAGGAACCCGTAACCTCTGAACTCCTTTAGTCCTTAAGTCAGAAAGGCAGCTGTGGCTTAAAATCAGCGAAGCCACAGCTGCAAAGTGAGGTAAGAACATGATGTCGGTTGTCGCCATTTAGGTATAGTAATCCAGGTATCAACTGGATCAATTCGTCCGTCGCCGTATAATAATGCCTGCGTGTAAGCTCCGGGTGCGTCACTTTGCTCTCCCGCATATTGCGGTAATAACGCAGTAGCATCGCAAAGTTTGGAAGCCTCTATATGCGAAGCACTGGAAGCGGCGTCGGCGAATATGGCGGCCAAACCAGTTTCGTCTTTGCCTGTATTGCCCTGAACCACCACTCTGCCCTTGAATTTACGTAGATCAAGAGGAAGTTCCTCATGTTTGACTGAAGATAACTCCAAGATATTGAAGAAATGCACCTTTGTTCCATTGCGGATAGCTTGTGACTCAATATCAGCTTTTTCTGCAACAGTCTCCAACATCCATGTTTGTTTCTTTTCCAATCTCTCGTATTCTTTTCGTAGGGCTTCTTGTGCACGTGGTTATGCGGCAACTTCTTTCTTACTCAGGTTTCTGGTAACTAATGCTGGGCGTGACCATGTCGAATCTGGTATTTTATCTCTGTGTGCCGGCGTGTAGTTGGTCTCACGTGGCATGGTTGGTATTACTACCGACTGGGTGAACTTGCGTATAAGCGGGTTCAAAGTCCCAAAGTCGGTTCCCTCATTATCCACAAATACCAAAGCACGTTCTTCTCCATCGTGCTGTTGTGGTAGTTGACGGTAGTATAGTACCGTGGTAATGTCACGTGGCCCACCAGGTAATTTGGCATACAGTATTTCTTTGTTTGTCACGCCTTTGACATTCTCGTCGCGGATGACGTCGCCATTGTCAGTGTCGTATGTAATCCGTCGTTCCACAGTATTCCATGTGGGTCCGCCTGATGTAGTAGTACGGAAATTGTTGACCTGTTTATCCTGTCTTGTCCACACTCTCAATGCGGCACGATCACGAATCTCACGAGCTCGTTTAACGTCGTTGGCGTAATCGATATCTTTCTTTTGCTGTCCACGAGAAAGTGTTTTCCAATGCTCGGGAAGAACGTGATCAGGACGTGTAGTAGTCTGCACACGTGTCTCGCGTCCACGAACCACCATTTTGCCGTCTGGCGTTATTTTTGGAAGCTCATAGAACTGAATCGTGCCTGTCCATGGCTCGCTTAACTCCCTGTGGTCGTTGGCGCTAACACCATCCCAAACATCTCGGAAGTTACTTTCGCCCTCGAAAGTAGAAGTCGTTTTGAAATCTCGTGTCACGTCGAGTTGGTCAACAGGTACAGGTATATTCATGACGTCGTCCGTCGGGATGAACAGTTTCTTTCTTGGGGTACGAATGTGTCTGATGACGCAATGTCCACGCTGTTCCCAGTAGTCTGGCTCCGGCGCTGGTGCAGCAACTTCAGAAGCCGATGCCTGGATATCAACAGCGTTATCTTCCGTTGTCATCATAGACGGATCATCCCATTCTCTAGGGTAGGAAAGTGGAGGATCAGGCATTGGCTTGTCACCCAAGGGGCGAGAAGTAGAGGCCTTCACCTCGTCGTGTGCCTCCGGGTTGTGATGTCGTAGGGTACCATCTTTCACGGGGTAGGTGAACTTGCCATCAGGGATGATGATGTCTTTGACTCTGTGCACATGACACAGTTCACCATCAGGATTCTTGGCGCATGTAGCCGTGTCCAAAACAAGGTAGTCACCTGACCATCGTCCACCAGAGTGTAAGTGGTATCCCATGAATAACCCTTCCCGAGTATGTTCTTTAAACTTTGCAGTCTCGTTGTTAATCTCGGGGTTGAGGCATTTCCAAAATATCCGAGCACCGAATGGTATGCAGTGCCCAGGAAAGCTTTCGCCAAATCTTATTTCATGAGCTGTCTTTTCTGCATGCCCCTCGTTGAGGGCAGCGACGCCCGTGGATGTATGCACAAAGTTGTGTCCACAGCAAAAGGCTTGCATGGCCTCTTTCCACCATTCGTGTCCCAGACCAGACATATGTAACACAGCTCTGGTACCAAGAATGACAATTTTGACAACGCGCTCAATCAATCCATTTGTCTGTGGACGATGTGGCGTACTCGTGTCGTGTCTCCATCCCAGTTGGCGGCAAGCTTTCTGAAGCTCTCCAGAGTTGTCTGTGTAGATATGCTTCACCTCATCGTTCGCGGCGATGAACTGTTGAAAGGATGCCTTTGTAGTAGCTGCGTCTTTGTGTAGCGCTGGGTAGGCCATGAAGATGCCAGTATATCTGTCAAGGACAACAAGTGCATATTTGTCGCCATGTTTGTCCGCGGCATCGTCTTTGGCCAGTACGATATGGTCGGCAGTTAGAGCCTCACCGAACTTCTTCGGGACAAAAGCCTCGTAGGCGTTATCCTCTTCGGTGGGGTCTGCCGGTGGATGTGGTTTGCGCTGTCGTCTACACGGGGCATTCTGTGCCATCGTACGAGAACAGATCTCACAGTCAGGATGTTTTGGGCTGTGAGTCATGTAATGCATCGGGTCGATCGGTTTCTTTTGTCTGTTGGGTAGAACTCGATCGTTGTCTGGATGCGTTCGTGTGGGTGTCTCTGTCGGTATGTCGTTGTCTGCTTGAGCTATATCTAGCCCCCCGCATTGTGGAGGAGAGCACTGCGTCAGAGACATAGGCGAGTCGGTGGTTGTGTCCACGTTGGGCTCGTCTGTGCGTGTGTCGGGAGGTTCTTCGACCGTGATGGTCCGTGCTCCTCCTCCCTCTCCGACATGTGGTCTCTTGGGGCAGGTCCCTATGTGGGGCCGTAGCTCGTCTGCAGTGGTTGGTTGCTCTGTAGTTTTGCAGCACCAACAAGTGTCGTTACAGCGGGCGGATGAACGCTTTCGCTGACGACGGCGGGGTGCTGACGAAGTGCATAAACGTGGTGGTGGTATCCGTGTTAAGTCGTCGAGTCGTAACTCTGGCACTCGATTGTTGACTGGAATCTTATACCATTGGCCCCCCGGATCCTGAAGCATGTAGCCCAGCTCAGGATCCCAAAGCTGTCGAAAGCCATCAACCTCAATCAATTTTCCAACTGATAGTAATGATGGGCAGTCTGGTAAAGCAAGGGCTGAACTATGCAGTCCAACCTCGGGTAGCCGTATGTCGTAGTGCTCGTTGACGGTACGATCACCATTTGCAGTTTCCAGAATATGCTCCTCGCGAATAGATATGCGATCCGACTCGGTCTGCGTAAGTTCATGTTTTCCCTGAATATGATGAGCAGAACCACTGTCGAGAACCCAAGACCTTGTCAATGCTGCGGTCGAACGTGAAGGGTCGACGGGCTTTGTCGTTGTTGTCGTCTGGGCAGTCTTTGATGACTGCTTGACAGTGTCGTCATGCTTTCGGATCGCAGTTGGTGTGGCCACCGACTCTTTGTTGTGTCGGTAGTCGCACAGTTCGTCGTACCATAGTTGTGTCTCTTTTTGACATTCTCGTAAGGCCTCTGCACTATCATCCCACCATTTTTGTGGTAATGGATCTGGTACTTTGACGATGTCACCCTCATTCGGCAGCTCTTTCCATCTGTCCAGTCTGGCTCTGCCAGATATGGTATGGAAGTAGTAGTCCACGTTGCGTGCGTCGAAGCGTATCCGACGACGTGTCTTGGTAGATGTCGCTGTGGCCTTAGTGTTGGCCATGAGGGTCTTGTCACGGATGACGTAACTGCGGTCTGAACGGCGTGAACGTCTAAAGTTGGCAGGAGAACGTGCTCTAGTGTTGGGGGAACCACGGGGCGATCCGCGGCTCGGATACCGCTTGCCACGTCCTTTGTCACTACCATATGATCTATCACGGCCGCGTGGACTGCCGCGTCCGCCGCCGCGATTGTCTCGTCCTCGGGAGGTAGATCTCGAAGATCTGTCGTAACGACTTCTCGATTGGCTGCGAGAGTCGTGGGACCTCCTGGATGTCGAACGGGATCGGTCGTATTGGCGTCGGTTGTCACGTCCCTGTCGTGAATCGCTTGCGCAGCGAAACCCCCCGCGTTGTGAAGACCGTTGGCTTCCTGATCCGCGGGATGGTGATCGGCCGCGGCTGTCCTGGCTGGAAGTCCGCGGTCGACTCGGGCTTCGTTCAGGAGTCTTTGCACCAGGTGCGAGATGAGCGTATTTGCATGTGTCGCCTTTTGTGCACTTGTTCTGTGCAAAATCCGTGCACTGTGCGACGTGTGGGAAGTTACACTTATCACCTCTGGCACATGTGTTGCGCTTGGCAAAATCGAAGCAGAATGGCTTTGATGCTGGCTTCTTGTGACTCGCAGGAATGGACATACTACGGCGGGGGTTGCCGCCAGCCGTTGATGTTCTGGAAGATTTGTTGTTCTTCCAATCCCTGGAATATGTATGTAAAGCCTTGCACCGTTCACCGTTGCGACAATT